AAGAAGGAGGTGGGCCGGAGGTCCTCCGTGCCACCGACACGGACCCAGAGGCGAGAAGAGAAGGTGGCGCAGCAACAAAGAGCTTTGGACTTCTGGCTGTGGCCATTGCAGGGCCGTAGTCATTCTACATTGCGAAATATAGAACTTCAAGCGTATATTCGTATTTTAAAACAATAATGTAATATAACGCAGAGCATTGTAATATACAAACGTGGAAAGGATGCAAGGAAGGAAAAGATATATAAAGAAGATTACTTTCGAGTTATAAAGCAGCATTGATGAAATATAATAATCTACATAATTAGAATCATAAAAATTTCTTAGAAACATAGATTTAAATAGATAAATATAAAGGGACATTTAATTATTTGGTTACCATTAATATTGTTAACTGTAACTGTTTGGGAAATATTAATCGATACTGTGAAGCGTAAGAATAATCTAATTATAACAAAGTTAAATATATATTTTACACAGAATAATATAAAATTCGATTTTACTAGCGACGCGCGATGTAAGGAAGCTAATTTTATTTTGGTGCATATATCGATTTTACGACATGTTATATATATATATTTTTTTTAAATTGTACATGAATTTATTTCTAAAATGCAGTTTATTTATAAATCTATAAGTAACAATTTTGTATTTTTGGATACATTGATCATTGTTAGTTATTGTTTTAGTCGAGTACGTCCCTGCTGCATCCTATTCGGTCATTCAAATCTCCGCTCGTAGAAATGAGATGGGCGATCGCGCCGCTCCGTGTTGCCCCACACTTCTGCGGTTTCGAAGCGTACAGGGTGATTCAACAAGAATTACTCAAGAGGACTAATTTTTGAAATGTGATACGTTTCTTCGGATTTCTCAAGTTGCATCCTGTAATCAAAGCCCTGAGCAAGAATAAGATCCTTACGATATGATAAATGGTATTATATATTGAAAGAAATAAAGTAATCAATTGTTTCGTTTAACAACAATTGTATATCGTTAACTATAAAATCTATTGAAAAACTTGCGCTATTTTCTACTTTGCGCACTTTCTTTTCGATTATTTCTGACATTTCAATTAGCCAGCTTCTTTCAAATTCACGAAATCAGCCTGCAGCCCTGACTGCACTGTAGTTCTTAGAACTTGAAATAAAAAACGGAAGATCGAAGAGATTCTACGTGAGAATAAAGGAGGATGAAGGATTGCGTTGCGAAGAAAAAGATCCTTCTTGTGAACTGAACGCGTTCATAGGACTGGATAGATATGGTGGAAGTCGTGGAATAGAAGGAAAAGGAAACGGAGGAGAACGGAGCAGAAAATGAGGCGACAAAGAGAGGTGGAGGGATAGGATCGAAATCGAAATGCATCGTTAGCGACGGCAAAGGAGACGGCAGGAGACGAAAAATCGATCCTCTCTCTGGAAATGCCGACGACCAATTGTCCGGCGAAGGACAAGATTCTTGCTGTTGTCAGGAATTCAGTTCGCGAAGCCCATCCCCAATGAGGACGCGAATCCTTCGGAGGATAGCACGAGTACCTATGCAACATCGCGGGATCTCTCGATTTCCATGCTTCTTTTTTTCGGTGCAACCGAAAAACCAACAGGATCCGCTGGTTCGACGTTCGTATCAATATCGTTGTGATTGATTCGCAGAAGATTTTACCTCTAATAAATCGAAACATTTATTATATAACAAGTGTATTTAAGGCTTAACACTTTTGATATTAGATAGATGAAAATTTATATATTCAAACGTATGCGTTTGTCGCAGTTGTTATTATACTGTTATTTTTATTTAATCTTTCTTGCTTTTTTATACAATTATTTATATAACTTTTTTTTTATCTTCCGGACGGACGATGGGTTTATTCTGGGTGGATTCATTCAATTATAAATCTCTTGGTCAATGATGTCAAACAATCCGATTTTCTTTACATACATCTGAAAATTTGAATTATTTTTATTAAACTCAGTATTTATTTTTTATAGGAATTATGTCATTTTGATTATTTGAAATTAATTAGTGTCTTTTAACATAAATTGAATAGGTCTTACAGACGCAGCATCAGCAATTATGTTATAGATTTTAACGACTTTAAAAGGTTAAGTCGCCCAAAAAAATAAGATCTATATAAAAGAGATGTATATAAACTTTCTTTACATCTAAACTTTTCCTTTACATTATTTGCAAAATTTTGATCTTCATTGTTTATACTCTTTGTTGTATTTAAATGGAGAACACATTCTTCTATCTTATATATCTTTCAGGCGCCACATGTCCCTTGAGTTTAAAAAATACATCGTCGGGGAAGGAGCGCATGCTCCCATAACTGGTACCTTAAATCCGCCGCTATTTATGATGGGGACATTCACGACGAATTCCCTCGTCTATGTGCCAAGCTTCGAGGAAACATGAACTTGCTTTATCTCGAAATCTCGAAAATTTAAAATTCGAGCACGCCATATTGAAATCGGGGATCAGTCTTAACGATCTATGAATGAAACGCGTCGCGTCGTCATCCAATAACGAGAACCCGTTCCTTGATATGGCGTTGAAACGAGCGGACCATAACTTTCGACGCGTCTTTTTACGGATACTTGGAGGTCGCACGCGAGCCATTTAATTAACTTCTCGGTAGCGAAAGTAATTTATCCGGATGCTATCTTTCCGTCATACTTATATGCTTCAAAATTACTTTGAGAAACCGGTAGTTAAACATTTCTCAACGACTTTAATATCTACGTATGTATGTTCCTTGCTGTCAACACATTGAACATATTGATTTATGAAGTTTATGAATATTACGAGTGTGAAATAAAAAAAAAATAAACAAGATGCAGTATCGTACTGATAAATCTCTTGCTGATGTAATTCCAGTCAGTCATTGAACCCGAAAGCCCGAGTTGAATAGCACGCTATCTCAATGATTTTAGATGGCATCGCACACTACTATAATATATTTGGGAAAATAATTTTCTAATAAGTTATCTAATACGCTCGTTGCAAACTGCAAAGTTTCCATCTTTCATAGATCAGATTAAAATTGACACAGAAGACCAACTTTTTTACCTTTGTTTCTCCATTTTCATCGCTGAAAACAATTTCACAATCCTGATTGTGCGAATATTTTATATTTTCAGTTGTAAAAAGATTATATAACTCTTTTACTTTAAAAATAATACAACTAAATGGTTGATTAATATACAAATCCGCTCGTAAAATTGCTAAGCAATAAAATGATATTATGGTCTATAACTAAGCTAACTATTAATGGTTGATTTAAAAATAACAATTATTTTATTTCTATATACATTGTCGCAAACGTTTCGACTTACAAAGTCTTTCTCAATGCTCGCAAATAATTTTTATCCTATTCCCCCTCACAAACTATCGAATTACATACAAAATAATCACTCTGATTAATTACATCTTATAAATATATTATTAAATTCCTATTATTAATTACGTATCATTAAATATATTATAAAATATCGATGTCATCATTCCATCAACATTTGTTCCAAAGTCCTGTTACAAAAAATTTTTTAATGCTCAAATCTCTGATTAACATCGAGAATCTAGTCGTAATTCAAACAAGCAGTCATACCAAAAATAAATATTCGAAATAAACGTAATGATGACATCGATCTTTTATAATAAACGCGTAAATATATGTAGTTAAACAGTGACTATTTTGTATGTAATTTGATAGTTGTTTATTAGATGTTTATGAGAGAGAATAGGGTGATAATTATTTGCAAACACTGAGGGAGATTTTATAAATCGAAACGTTTGCGACAATGTATATATAGAAATAAAGTAATTATTATTTTTAAGTCAACCATTAATGCTTGGTTATAGGGTTCATTAAGTTAATATTTTTTTAAAACTAAATTAAGTTAAAGTTAATGGTTTACAAAATTAATTAGTTAAACTAAAAGTTGAATGAAGAAAAATCTAATTCAGTTAAAGTTACATTAAGATTAAATTTAAGAAAAACTTAAGTTTAATAAAAAGTTTATTTTAAAAATGTTAATTTTAAATTAAATCAGAATATCCTAATTTTTCTTAAAATTAGGTTACTTTAAATAATAAAACAATTACAGTATAGATCATCAGATTGATTTAATATTTTATTTGTTAATTATATAAAATAAAAAGAATGAAGAAAGATATTTTTTGTTCAACAAAAATTTAATTTTCAGTATTTTTACATAAGTAATTGTTTTAATTTTGTTAAAGTTTAATTTTGTACTCCTCTTTGCACTGCCCGTTCATTGAAAATTATATGTAAATAAAAAGCTATTATTCTTTCTTTATCGCTCATTAGACATAAAATAAGCATGACGCGATAGCACTGATAGCATTTCCTAAATGCAGACCAAACGTACATCTTTGGACAGTACGAGCGTCGCGCTCATCACACAATCATTAAATTGTTTAAGATTTTATAGAAAATAATATTGGCATTTAACGAGAGATAAAAAGAATTTTAATTTAAAAAGGAAAAACTTAATAAATTAAAGTTTAAAGGTAACTAAATTGAAATTATTAAGTCATTTAATTATTTTTAACGTTTTATTTTTAACTTTTATTTAATTTATTAATTAGTTACTACCCTCTGCAACTGACAAAATTAAGTTCTTAGAAAAAAAAACTATTTTTTAACTTGATCGAAAATTATTGATTAATCAAATAATATCGCCGAAATAATATATTCTCAACATTATCAAAAGTTATTTTGTCATGTTCGTTTTACGACCCTTAAAAGCTATCCTTTTTAAGTTGTGATGACTTTTTGTAAAATTACGTTAGTTCACTTTTGAATATTGATAGGATAACGTTTATTTAATTTGTTCAATATAATAACTAAAAAATTACATTTATTAAGTTATTTATATAATAATTAATCATTCACCTTCTAAATATTTTAAGTATTTTATTTGCATTGTCCAATACAAGGTGAAAAAAATTTGGATACCTTCGATTTCTTTACATTGTTTCAGGAATCATGGGGACGATATGGCGGCTTTCCGCGATGATGCTTTTGTTAATGATGCATTCTGCTCTACTCAGTGCTCATCGTGAACACAAGGTTCGTCTTCGTTCGTTATTATCATCCATTCATCAAACGATCTTCTTTCTTCAGAATTCTATGAAAGAATAATTTTGCATAAATAGTAATTATTTAATCTGATATTTTTTTCTTATACATACAGGATGTATCAAGTCTCGAAACGGTCGAATATCTCGAAAGCAAAGCCACCTTGGGTGGCGTCGCCAAGGTCAAATTGATTTTTTTTAATGGATCATCCTATTTTTGATGCCAGAGTTTAATAGCTGGTGTCAAGAGCTTTTCAAAACACTATAATAAAGTTATTTTTCATTAAGTACTTTTCAAGTTATAAGGCTTGAAAGTTATTGTTAATACCGCCGGTATTAACATTACGCAAGGTGTCCGATCGATGGCTAAAACCTCTTGATATTCGACCGTTTCCAGACTTTTGATACACTCTGTATATTAAATTAAACTCACAAAAAATTTAAATTTTTGTTAGGTCCACAATATCGTGCTGTATCCTGATAAGCACAGTTGGTGCAAGACGACGCCTATAAAACAGGTAGTGACATGGCCTCAGTGTTCTTCGCAGGAATTGGACAATAACGTTTGCGTCGGCGCTTGTTTTTCATATATGGTCCCTCACAGTGAACCCTCCGCACCTGGAGACCTCATAAGACCTTATTGCGATTCCTGTCAACCTCTCGACAGTGTTTGGCACACTGTGAGTCTATCAATAAACTATACATAAACTAATAAAGTTAGAAAGCTGTAAATTTAAACAAGCATTTAACACACTTTAATTTGTATATATAATTTATTGAGTCCGACTGAAATTTCGGTTTCGGTCAGTTTCGGTCAAAAATCAAAGTTTCAGTTTGATCTTGGTTTCGGTTGAAATTAAGAAAAAATTTTGGTAAGTAAAAATCGAAACTGTACAAATTGCAACGCGCCGACGAGCATTCGAAAAACTATATGTTAACATCAGCTGATCCGCCCTGATTGCTGAAAATCACACCGACGCTATTTCTTCCTTCTTTATCCTTTTTTACTCGTTAAGTCGCCAAATGTCTAGTGTCTGAAATTCCTTATAATTTAAGGAATAATAAGATATCAATAAAATCTTATTTTTGAAACATTAATAAATTTCACATATTTTGAAATTTTTCAATGACTGGAAATCATGTGGTGTTTGTCCAATTTCAGTTTCGGTCGGACTCTAATAATTTATTAAGAATTTTTCACATGATTGTTTTTTATTTAAAAAATCTTGGATATATAAAAATATTGAAAGTGTGTTTTTTCTTAAAAACAAATAATGTATAAATGATAAAACATTTAAAAAATTACCTTTTTATAATATTAATAATTCTTATAAAGAGAAAAGTAAATGAAAGGAGCACAATTCAATATGGCACAAATTCATCAAATATCTTTCAATTTTTGAATTTGTCATATTGGTTGTACTATTATGAATTTCTAAAATTTGACTTTGGACTCATAATCAACGACCCAAAAAATATATAAATACAAATGTTAATAAGAATCCAGTAGAAGCGTTTCCATAAGGATTATATTATAGTTTCCTTCTTGCAATATTACTCATTTTCTTGTAATAGATTACTTATACGTGCGAGGAAAGTTATCGCGTTGATTAAAAAAATATTTGGCGCTTATCTTCATTATCTTGATATCTTTTATGCACGTGGTAAAATTGATCGATAAAATCATAAGTTGTATTTTATCATTAATCTTATTTTTAAAAGTGTTTATATCTATTTATAACATTGTTTCATTCCTTTTTATTTCTTACAATTTTTCGAATATTACATCCTTCCTAGAACAAAAAAGTTTATTTTCTTAATAAACGATCTGAATATAATTTTTAAAAATTAACTATTGAAAATTATTCCGCATTCTTAGGTTACGCTAGATTGCAAAGACGAACAAAATAATCCAGTGACTATGCAAAAGAAAGTGCAGATCATCACAAACTGTTCCTGCAGTTCCTGCATGGAGACTTCGAAGATCAAGCCGGACTATAACACCCTACTACAGTCCCTAACAGAGGAGAATTTGGACAAGAATGTGAATGTGGCACACGAGACGCCCGATTTACTGCTGGATCCGAACTTAAATGCCTCGAAGAATACAACAAGAGAATTTAACGGAACGCAAATCAATGAGCGGTTCCATCAACTCGTCAAGAAATTGAAGGAATCGCAAAAGCTGGACGACTCACATATGAAGGAATTGTTCTCTAAATATGAAGAAGAGGTCGACTTGGAAAAATTGAAAGAAACGATTAAGAAGTATACTCAAGAAAACAAGGAAGGCCAGCATGAGCATCATCGTCAGCACCAGCATGAGCATCAGCATCAACATCAACAGCAACAACAGCAGCATCTTCATCACGGACCGCATCACTCTTTGGTGCTGGACTCGGACGTGAAGGAAAAAATTGACGTGGAACCACATTACCTGCATCCCGCTGTCGCTGGACAAGAGATCAGTTACCATGACAATATCCTGGTAGGTAAGGAGAAGAAGAAGAACTTCTAGGTCCATCGAAGCGGAATTCGTCATTGCACGAGAGTCGCCTTCGTTCGCCACGCTCATAAAACGTAGTAGTCGGTTGAGATTCACAGAAATGCGTAGATACATTTATAAGCGAACGATTGGGATACCTAGTCTGCTATCTGATTTTAATTCTACGTATTTATTTACGTAACGGTAATTGGATCGTGAGATATTAATTGTTGATATATATTTATTAATAATTATTTTTACAAAATTACATAATAATGATTTTATACATTTTTATATATCTAATGATTGTTTTTACAAAGAGGAGGACATAATCTTCTTTATATTTTATATTGTATAGCTTATCGTAAAAAATTTTTTAAAATGACATACGAATTAAAATAAATGTAAACCCGGTATTTTGAAATTAATCCTGTCGCTGATACACACGGGAAAGAAAAATCGTAAGAGCGTGTGTGTGAGAGAGTGGAAAGATTGGGATGGGAGAAAATTCTAATATATATTTAATTGTTATCGCGTTAATTAATTATTTAAATAGCTGCATGACAATCGGGGCGTTTACTCGATTTTGAGCATACGGAGTGACGCTTTAGTGAGATTTTATATCCCGATCGATAAAATTATATGAACGATGGTCGAATCTGAATATCAGATTCGATACGACGTCGACCTCTAAAACATATATGCATTGTATTATTCTCCTTAGAGAATAAAGACCCTCATGGTCAACATTCAAGCCTTCTCAGTAAGATTCTTGCGAACATTTCCTCATTTCCGTGTATATGTTTCTCTTTATGGGAAATATATGTAAGAATATATTGCGCTTATGACGTTATACTTAGAAATGCTATGGCATGCTTAGAGATTTCAAATCTTTCCCTTTAACACGAATCTTCTCATTCTTTGTATTTCTTTACATTTATTCCTCGTAACTATCTTGTACTACACGAGAAAAAAATTGCTTTTGCGATGACTTCAGCACCATTTAACCGCATGCTATAGGCGATTGTGTCGAATCCAGTGTAGAATTGTCATAACTCCACATTGGTAATAGCAATTCGATAATTTTCACGATTTCACGTGACCATTATTCATCTCCACAAGAGACGTGCCTGTGCCACTTTGGTGCTGTCACCCCATTAGTAGTGATTAAGTCATACCTACATGCAACACGTAATAGGCGTTGTGTTGAATCCATCCTGAAGCTGACAACTCCACATAGGAAAAAATTTGCATTTGCGACGATTTCGGCGCGACTCGAGCTAAGGCGTGTTCAGATTCCCACCTGGGTGCTCCTTAGATGTCATTCTTGTTTAACATTCGGTAAATAACAAGGATGACGTGACATCCGGAGATCACCCAGGTGGGAATTCGAACACGCCCCTACAACCGGTTGTATCTAATCCAATGTGGAGTTATCACAGTTCCACATTAGTAACAGCGCGACACGGTTTGAACCTTGAAGTCGATGCAAACGCAATTTTTTTCTCAGAACTGGAACGGTTCCAGTGTGAGATGTTCAGGCTCGGTAGTTATAACTACCGATCTTCTCTCAGTTCCGAGCTTCCCCTCTTTCCATTTGTCTTGTGCTAACTTGAAAATTTATCGAGTCGCGCTAGCTCGAACCTTGGAATCGTCGCAAACACAAATTTTTGCGTATATAAGAATTCTTGATTTCTATCTTTAACAAAATTAAATTTCATTAATTTCTATTTTATTTCTTTAACTGTGCTTTAACTCTGAGTTTTTCTATATTTTTTCTAGAACTTTTTCTATATTTATAAATAAATTAGTATTATTTCAGGAAAATTAACTTTTTATTTACATTACAGATAAAAAGCTTTCCTTTGTTTCATTAAGTTTCATCAATTAGATACGTAAATGAGATTAGATAAGAATTAAAAAACTTTTACTGAAAGCATCTCGCACAGAACACCGGATTTTTTGGTTTCGGTGAAATTGGTTGAAACTGCAGTATGTTTTAGTTCTTAACTCACTGATAAAAAATTTTCTTAGGCAAAACTATAAAAAATGAACAGATTTTGCTATATCATTTGAAAGTTGCCAATACTTGGATTTAATCGGACTGAAAAATATTTTTATCTGTGAAACTCATTTTTTTTATATAACTATACCTTAATATTTTATATTATGATGAATTAATTGGCATAAAGAAAACACATAATTAAAAAAATATATAGTTTGCACATATGCATATTGCAAATTGTACAAGTTTTTCTAAAGCAACTATGTGTTCTAATTAGAACCAATTGAGGTCGGAAATATCTTTTAAATTTTGTCATTTACATTTGTGACCATTACAAATGAACTATTTTCTCAAAGCGCACGTAATTATAAATATCGATCTTTAATCGAGAAAAAATTTTGGCGAGACACAGTTTTGAAAAATTTCTCGGCACTATCATGCGGATCTAGATCGTTGACGAATCGGCTGGCAAGCAAATGCCTCATAATGATAACAGAAGATGACTTTTGGCCGATGGTGGCGGTAGCACATACTGCTTGGTGTGGTGGAAAGAGAACGATCGGCGGTGTGATGTATATTGGCGAGAGAGCACAGTGTCTTTCGATGCGCCGTCGCGCACTGACGTCGATTTCTCGATCGCGTGAGCGCAAGATCGCGATCGAGAAATGCTCGCGTGTCGAAGATCCACTGAAACACTCTTCCAATGAGATGACGGTGGACCTGTCAAACCCAGCGCGATGCAGGCGGAAACCCAACGGTTTTCGCCTCTATTTCTAAAATTCTACATTCTATAATTACCTTTCAAATTGCGGGGTTTATTGCCATTTCGAAACGTACATGGGCGGAGCGTAGTCGTTCTAATCTGATATAAAGTGTAACTAGAATCAACTTTTATAGATTGTGGTTGGTGGATTAAAAGAAAAAATATATACCTCTTGTAAAAAAAATCGGTATTTTTTCTATCGGAAGTGTTATAGGATTAGCGTGCAACGTGTGAAGACAGTTTACATTTATCTCACGAGAAAGCAGGTTGCCGAGAACCACGAGAAAATAGTAATTCACTAGCTGTTGATCATCGAACGATATCAAGATGGATACAACAGCGAATGGTAAGACTTCCCCAGATCGTTTATCCAAGTATATTATGAAATTGAAGAGTGATTTATGAGACAAAAGATTGGTTTTGTCATCCTTGTCAAGCTGTCTCGCTGTATCGAACTTCACTTCGCTTCATTTTTCAATAAATATCGTGTCGGTTATCGGCCTTATGTCCGGAATCCTTAATACGCTAATATCACTTGCAGTTGTCGCTTTAGTCATACTAATTATCATTTACTTGCACTGATAAACTTTTAAATTGTACAATTTCATGTCGCGCAACCACCTGTATGAGTTCCTAAAGCAAACACCTGTTTCGTTCGATAGACAATTTAGACAATCGCATATGAATAATACAATGATAATATTATGATATTTTACATGAATAATATGATGATATCAAATCTTAAATGAACAATATTATAATAGCTTGTATAAATAATATTATAATAAACTCACGACTAAAATATGTAAACTAGAGAAATTACATTTTTTAGTATAAGCAACATGCTAAATTTTACATAATATAGACATACTTGAAATGCTTCTTAGTCATTTGTTATCTTTTATGTTAATTTTCAGTGGACTGTGTGAACTTTGTATATAATTTTTTGTGTCAACTTTCTATGACAATTTTCGGTGAATATATTTTATGTTAAGTAATAATCGTTATATAATAAAATGAGATATGTTCAAAAATGATTTTAAAAAGAAGTATTGAGAGACTTAAAAGAAGAAATGTGATAATTTTCATAGTCGCAACTTATATTGGGATCATATTTTTGCAAGAAATTGCAAAGATAAGGTAAGACTTTCAATTCGTTTACTCAAGCACTAAAGCACGTGATTTATGAGACCAAAGATTAAACTGGTTTAAAATCGTGTTAAGTAAAACGTATCGACGCAAATAAATATTGTAAAGTTAATATATCTATATCTATATATAAAAACTTAAATTAATGATAATATGGCTCAATAAGAATAAAATCACATATTGGTAAGATATTAAACGTTTTAATAAAATTGGCTCGAAGCCTTTCTATTTTACCATTATGTGATATATATATATATATATATGTAAATGTTATTACAATAAAATTCTTCATAAAGTACCTTATAGATTAAAAGTTTATTGAAAATGTATAATATAACGATATATTTAAAAAATTTGATGCCCACGCATATTATTTTTTAAATATGTTTATCACAAAAGATGTTGATCACAAAAGGCATTTTTTAGTAATATGAATAATTCGATAATTTTGACATTATTATAGTGTTATTAACATAATTATACTGCTTTTTATACTTATCTCTACTATCTTTTGTATTTTAAATTATTAAATATTACATAAAACTGCTACACTCCTCGCCTATCTTTTTGACGAACGAATTTTTAGAAAATATAGAAAGTTAATAAGTTGTGCAAGATTCATGTGCGTAGCAAGCGTATACACATAAATCCTGGTTATTACATAACCAGCAATTCTGTTTTACATTTTAGAGTTGATTATGGCGCGGCGAGTCAGAAAATATATCTTTATAAGTGGGTAGAAAAGCTTGTAGCTAATTTAAGTGTAATTTAAATGCGCCGTAAGATTGTATCTCCGCGTAATATCCTCTTTAATTGAAAGCTAGATATCAGCGATACTATTGTCACAGAAAATTTTACTCACATGTTTTTAATGGCAAGCATTAAAATAGCCGTTGTTTATATTTAATTGTATATTTAATTGCATCAAATTGAATCGTGTCGAAACGAACAACAAATTCAGCTAGCAATATTGTCCTCGACCTCTGCACCGTTTAAAGTCACGACCGCTTAGACAAAAGTAATATTGTTCAATTACTAACGATGTGTCGCTCGGCATTTCGACATTGACGAGCCTTTAATTCTGTTTAACATTTCAATTAAAAAAACGCGCCAATCGCTATCTTCATCCAGTTTATCTGTTCGGAGAAATTTCTTTCTGCAAAAATGTAACCTTCTGTTCTCACTTTCTTTACGAGTTATTTTGCTCCGCGATAAAATCTACTTATTTTTTTTACATATTTAATCATCAATTAATCGCGAATTTATCGAGAACATCTAATGCTACGATAAAGAGTAGTG